AGGAAATAGGATCTGGAAATCAACATGGCAGACAGGCACCAGCTCCGGGAACCCCGTGGAGCAAATGTGGCTGGTCAAGTTCAAGCCCCAGCTGCCAGCTGGACGTAGCCCTGAGCTTGCTTGCCCTGGACAAGGCTCGGCGTCGCCTTGCCTTGCCTCGCCTTGCTCCAAGGTATCCGCACCCTGGCTGGTTTCTTCCGTCCACTGGCGTTTGGGCAACCTAGCTCGAACAGGGTCTGACGGGGAATTCCAGAACCGACCGACCGATAAATATCGACAGGGCAGAAGAGACGCGAGAGAGCTTGTCAGTCGAGTTTGCCCTCTTGCGCCTTGCAGCGCCAATCAACCGTGGATCTGGGGCTAGGGTATCGGCCTTCGGGGGACTGGGAATCTGGCACGCGGGTCGAGAACGAGGTATACCCGTCCCCTCGCGCCTACCCACTGACCGCACTGCCATAATGCCAACAACAGTCGTTGTCTCAAGCTACGCAGAATGACTGGGCTGTCTCAGAGCCCCCGTTACCACCGCAAACCTAACGGTCAGGCCAACGTCGGTCTTGAAACTTGAGACACTCAGTTGTACGGCATTTACTATGGAAGCCGGGGGGCTGGCTCCGTTGTGAGCCTGACCGCTTCGTTTCTCATACGTCGGACGGCGTCCTGCATCTGTCCGATTTCCAGCCGATTGACTGCTACTTGGGTGGCGGATGCCGGATGATGGTACACGGCAGCTCTCGGCAGCTCGCAACCTGCCCCAGGGATGGCCTCTCTTGCGCTGCTGCGCACGAAGAAGCAATACCGTACGGCCGGCAACCTGCAAAGCCCACAATTGCGTGGTCCCTTGTTCATTGTGTCCACTCCAGCATCCATGGACCCAGACCTCCTCACTATTCTGACACTGAGAAAGTCCTCTGGCGGAGACCACAGCCCTCTGGCAGTCGTCGATCATGATCTGTCACAATCTGGATCTAGCGCCGCTCGACGCGCTTTGGAAATCTTCAAACGCCTCACACAGACGAGTATCCACGGACTAGCCACGTCAATGAGGAATAAGAAACCCAAGCTTGAGCTACCCAAACTCGGGCTACGGAGACGTCCCGCGGCCTTTACTTGCCTCCAGATCTGACATCAACGATTTGCTGCTGTGTGGAGCAACTGCATACATCTCACATCATCTCTGCATTGATACGAAATCAGCCTGGGAAGGAGTCACGCAGCGGAAAAGAAGATGATGTGCTACGGATACCGTAGGCCAATATACTGGCTGGACCATCGGCAATCTTGCCAGTAATAGCAGCATCGTGAATTTCATCGCCTGCTCAGTGTTGGTGGAGAACATATCGCCAGCTTACTGAGCTTCCCTAACGTATTGCAACGTCCTCATCCCATGAGCACTTACTGGCCAAAGCTCTCAACCTCGCGTTCACCTTGAGTGCCAAAGTTCAGATGAAAGAGATCAACGTTTTTGTTTTTTTGCCGAGGTAGGGATCTGAAGAGTGTCAGAGCTGCGTTCAGAGCATGGGTTGAAACAGCTGCTCGATGTAACTTCTATCCGTCCATCTCAACGCACGACTCAAGAACCTTAATCTGTGCTTGGGAGGCCAAACAAATGTCTGGCTCGTTCGGATGAAACTGGAAATTTTTTCGACACGTTAGGGTCTGAATGGATTTCCGCCTCCAGAGCTTCTTGGGAGATAAACTCGATCGAGGGCATGTTAAGTTCACTGGGCGGCTTGCCATAACTGGAAAGTGCATGCACGGCCCGTGGAGTTTGCTTGTCGTTTTTCGAGCTTCTGAGACTTGTGTCAACGGGGACGTTCTCGGGTGAAAAAGGCAGAACCTCGTTGGTAGAGAGATCGGCCTGTCATCAGCAATCTTACCACAAACATGCGAGTGGTTTGTGCAAGCAAAGCCCAGAGAGACGGTTTGCCAGCTTGTGGCTAGGATTACCCTGTTCCGACCAACCAGGCCGGTGGTTATGCACAATCACACAGAGGCCTACATCACGCGCGCGTACATACACGACGAGGACCTTGTAGCTGATTCGAATAGTGCATAGGAGTTGGTACCACAGCATACCGAAGCGACACCAGAGTATTGAATCCCTCTCGGCCATTGAGCGTACCGCCATCGTCGGCACATCGTAGCTTCCGAGTCTTGTCAGGCGACGGCGTCAACTTGGGGGCAAGATCGGTTCTAAGACCATCTGCCATCGACCGCTAGCTTCAGGGGCAATCCTCTCAGCTTCGCGCCCAACGCACAGGTCCAAGATCGGTCCTGAACAAAAGAGGCCTGAGAAAAAGAGATGATAGGGAAAGGAAGAAGCAAGTGTATGGAGAAACGCGTCACGCTGAAATCGACAACAAGAACCGCCCACTGAAAACTATGGAAGTCTTCCAGACTTCCGCGCGGTGGACCTCGAAGGCGAAGCAAGCATCATGGCAAACTGCAAATAGAAACTCTGGTCAATGGCCGGTCCACAATCCATACACCGCACTAGTGACCGACTACGCATCTATTCCCTTTGTCACCTCGGAAGCATTTGATGAAGGTGCGCCCAACGAATCTTCGTATCGGAACGCCATGCTGCAACGTTATTGTATGGATATATCAAGGCACACGACATTAGCGGCGAGTATCGACGACACGGCAAATGGACGCCATGGGCAGGAGTGTTCACGGCAGGGCAGACAGACGCGACACACAGTGCATGACAGCCATTAGCTAGCATCTTGACGCGCTCGATTTGTAACTCTTCTTCCACCTACACTTGGCGTATACAATGGTCGGATGCATCAAAGTCTCATTTCCCTCTGTCATTTGGCGTTCCGGCTGAGTTTAGGCCGCCTTTTTCCTCTTGTAGGAATAATTTCACCGACTACCCACTCGCCCATATTCGACTTTTGCTAATAAGTCGTCTCTCATGTCCCTGCATCTCCACCTGTTACAGGAAGTCAGGCAGTCCTGGGGCTACGAGACATTGCCTATTCGCTTTGCCGGAATCGCGCAGTTCAACGATTTGTTCAGTGCATCAAAGTCTACAGAATGACTGCCGGAGTCCAACTATGACCGAATAAGGCAAGGATACGGACATCACATCTATCGTGCCAATCCCGACCGACTGGCCAAATATTGTTCCAAGCGTCTGCCAGCCTGCTTGAGTCTTGGACTCTTCAAACGCGCCGTTTAGTATGCACGACTTCAGCCAGCTGCTCGCGATAATTGCAGCTACTATCGTTGCGTATCTGCATACACACTTTGCCTTTCACCCAATGAATTTAGGCACGCGACTGGGAAGCGACGCAGACGGCTGCTGGTATGCAGTGCGTCGGTCTCTCTGCAGGTTGCAAGCAAAGTCTCAAGCCTCGAGGGGAGGGATAATCAGGACCATTTTTCCCCAGCCAGCATGTCCCGGGCCGTCTATGGCCAGTCCACTCAGGACCGCCACATCCTGCATGCCGCCTCCGAACTCACGCGGCCCATGTTGCTGATGTTTTCGTCGTTGGCAGTGATTGTGGAAGTGGTAGTGGTATTGCGTGGTACTAATGCTGCTGCTACTGTTAACACTGCGTGGCTGCTTGCTTCTTTGCTTGCTGCTGCTGCTGTCTAGTGCATCTATCTCTCCTCTCTGGTCTCTTCGAACCACCAGTGATGCAGCTCGCTTCATGGGTGCGTGAGAGAGTTCGTTTGTACCCTGCTTTACACCCACCCACCCACATCGGCCGACAGCCCCCCCCCCCCCCCCTTCAATCCTCCCAGCAAGGCATCCTGGGCGACCATACCACACCCCCGGCAGCACCTTCAGAGCCAGATCCCTCCATCCCCCCCTGACCCCTTGTCTGCATCCTGGAAGAGGGGACATACGGGGGGGGAGGGGGAAGAGATGCTGCGGTGTTGCATTCTGGGACTAGACTCTGCAAGAGACTGTGAGCATTGCACAGGGTAAGGTTGTGACGGGGCGGCGCTGACATCCTCCCCCGGTCTCTGGCTCTGGAGACTGGTCCTCTTCTTTGGTCTGGTCCATGTCCACAGTCCATCTGCGTTGAGCGCTCAAAAAACTCACAGGCTCGACGGATCCCAAGGTTCGGATCCCGACCCCCGGCTCACAACGCATTGAAAACAGCACCATCTTAAATATATTACAGTCCCAAGCGCTTCCCCCACAGTCTAGTTGATCTCTTGTCACCTGTTGCTCTCTTGGGACGAACAAAAGGGCACTGGACGGTTGATGCTGGTTGCTGTTTTCTTGTTGCGCGCGCTCTTCCCTCCTTCTCGGCTCTGCTCAGTCTGTCTATTATTCAAACTTTTCCTACTCGGCGCAACGTAACGCAACGCCTACACACCACAATCCAACCTCTTATTAGTCTTACACAGACCACACACACGTACACACACATTCAAGCAACTCGCACTCCCTCATAACATCCCCGATCCCAACCAGACAAAGATCCAGAGCGGCCCAGTTTTTAAAAAGTAAACAGAAACACCAGCAACAAAAAAGCCTCGACTTGCTCAACCCTGTTCAGAGCACGCTGGAGAAGAAGGGGATCCCTTGAGAGGGGGCACGCCTGGCTTGACGTCGCCCTCTGCATTAAGTCGAAAACAAGATGTGGGCTACCGCTCCACTGCCGTACTACTCGGCCTACAAGCCAACCCGGAGGAAAGAGAGGGCAAGCATCAGCAACAAAGGTGGCTCATCGCCGTCCGCTGCCATCAATTCACAACCTCCTCTTCCTCTTCTCTCAACCCAAGACCATCCCGAAAACATCACAGATTTGTTCGAGCCTGCTCTTGATGGACCGCCCTCACCGGAAAGGATTCGTGCCTTGAGCAAGCAGATGCAGAGGGCCTCGGCCTTGGACAAACACAAGAGCCATACAACCACCTCCTCTGGCTCGACGTCCTCACTGCGCTCACTCAACTCGGACCGGTCGTGGGAACACACCCTGGAAACCATTACTTTGTCAAGACGTTCTTCTGGTCGGTCGACTTCGAGCAGCATGCCTTCCCGAGACCGCCCCGAGAGCGTGCAGCTCTTTGGCAAAACCATCTTCAACCGCAGGGCCAAGATGAAGCGGGAAAGCAGTGGTAACCACAGTTCCTCTGGAAGTTCCTTATACTCTGGTGAGCTTGCCCTGGATGGCCCGGCCTCGACAACAAACAAGGACCACTTCATCCCATCAATTTTTGGCCGTCGCAGAACTCTAAGACAGGACGACTTAGGTGAAGACCCAGTTTCGGGACGCAAGTTGCAAATATCGGGCCCCTACAACTTCCAACATGTCACCCACACCAAGCGGGATCACTTACCGGACCTTCAGCGGGGGAGCCGTGCCGAACTGGTGTCCGAATTCTCAGCCATCCGCGCTGCCCAACGGCCGACCACCGGCCAGCTCAAGGGAATTGACGTTGAAGACTTGCACTTTTCCAACTTTTCATCCGAAGCCTTGCACACGCAGCAGGACAACGCGTTGACGTCCGAAGCCCAGCCAGAGATGCTTTCGAATCGCCCACCTGCCATTGCCCGGCATACCGGCCCGACTTCTGCACCTCGACGGTTGGTCAAACACACACGATCCCAGGAACAACTGCGGTCGAGCCCGCCGCGCCCAGCACCTCCACGGCCACCCCGGTCACCCATCAACGAGGAGATTTTGTCACCAATTCTGCCAGGCTCGCCTGTACCTGTCCCTCCCCCAAGATCGTCAAGCCGTATCATGAAGCATTACACCGTTTCAGAAGACTCGCTCGCTACCATTGATATGTTCCCAGAACGCCCCCAGACTAGCAGCGGTTTTCACTTGCCAGGCACTCTCGAGGCACCGATCGAATTCACTAAATCTACCATTTCCGAAGAAGCAGAGCCTTTCGCAGACCCGAGATTCTCTCATGCTATCACCACTCCCGACGATGCTGCATGGCCACTTACAGCGAGCTCCACTGTCTCTTATGAGATGGCCTTGCCTGATGTGCCTGAAGAGGAGGAGCAGTTCGTTTTGTCTCGGCAGTCTGGCCCGAGCTTGGCCAGCACTCGTTCTTCGCTTCGAGGAAGCCAGTCTGTGCCTGCTCTGCGCCAGAGTGTGCCTCGGATGCCAGAGGACGAATTCAGGCGGCCATCAAGCGGCGCATCGGACACGCTTGGCAGCTTTGACATGCTTGCCGCGCAGAATGCTCTGAAAGAAGCTTTGGAGGTTGATGGGCCGGATGCTATTTCTCACCGAGCCAGCTGGGAGGACGATATTGACTACTGCTATGAGCACGAGGCTGAGGCTGATTGCGACTACGCGTGGGACCGGCCGTCTTTGGACATCGTGAGAGAGGACTCTGTAGAGACTTGCCTTGACAACGATGGCGTCTTCGTCGCACCCCTCTCGGCTGGTCTGAAGCCGGCATTGACGTTGGGACACTCCGATATGCCAGCCCTCAGCCCCGCCAGTCAGACTTCCGTCAACGGACACGAAGCAATCACTCCTACCATCACCGCGCTGCCTGTCAGGTCAAACTTCTCTCATCCAAGAAAGGAGACGAACTACCGGGGCACCTCCCATCTCCATGTGAGAACAGCTTCACGGGCCTCTAGCTTCAAGGAATCTCACGGCTTCAACCTCTCGCCATCTCTTCTCATCCCAACGGATTTCCGCCAGCAAATGTTGGCAGACTCGGACACTGACGCGTATCCCATGGATGTGGGGAGACACGACACCAGCCACTTCGCCTTTGACGAGGAGCCCGTCTTGACGATTGAAACACCTGGACTGTTCGCCAGAGACCGTGCCAGCACCTCAACAACCGGCAGCAACTCGTCTAGCCAAACCAGCCTGACTGAAGCTCGCCATACATCGACCAACTCGACATGGACGGCGCTCACCAGGTACACGGGAAGCACGACCTTTGAGGGTTGGAACCCAAAGTTCGAGGGTAGCGACCATTCGCGTTCCTTCAGTGCCGATGACTTTGCGGATCTTGGGTCGCCCAGAGGACGAAAGTCCACCATGACTCCGTTGCCCGAATCCGAGGAGGTTCTGACCATGTCGCGTTCCACGGGTGACATCCGCGCCGCCTCCGGATGCATCGACGCCAGCTTGTCCCAGGACTCTCTCCCGCTTGCCAAGATGAAGGAGCCGGTGAAGCAGCATCGACGCCAACGTGCGCAAACCCTGAGCGCCCCGCCCCCGCCTGGGCAGTACGCCCTTTTCCCGCCTCTCTATGCCGGCAGCCGCATCTGAACGACTGCTCGCCACTGAGCGCATCTTCCGACCCATGACACCACATTACGACCTCATAGCACATCTCATATATCTTATTGCATAGACACACACACACACACACACACACACACACACATATGGGCGCGCGCGCGCGCGCACTCGCGTATGTTCTCTCCTGCGATGGCGGAGCGACGCACTACACTACCAAACCTTCTACACCTTATTGTTTGTTTCTCGACATATCACGGCGTTTCAAGACGGTCGTGATTCGTATAGACTTTCTTGGCGTATCTCGGAGGAGTTATCACCCTGGGCTCTCATCATTTCGTTCACAACATAGACCAAAATACCGGCTTGGTCATTTCCCGATTCCGACCAACTATCACTCGCTACAAATACACACTCACTCACGCGACCGCCAGAGCAACGCACACAACGATCATCATTTTCCTTACATCTTTTTATAGTCCGCTCCGAAGGATCCACTCTTACTATACTACCACTGCCAGCAATACCGCTGCTACTGCTACTGTTATTTTGTTGTACAAAAAAAAAAAAGAAGGGCGCGAGCACAAAAACCCACCGGAAGGATTTTTCAACCTCCGCCGGGGTTATGATTTGATGGATTATGACAAGACCCCGATTTCTTTTCCAACACGGAAGAAAAAGGGGGAAACGGGAACAGAAAAGCAAAAAAAACACATTGTAAAAAAAAAAAAAAGTTGGGAGGAAAGGGCCACGGAAGAGAGCAAACCCAATGGAGGGATGGTGTTATGCATCTGTTCGATCACGAGAAGGATTATCTGCACCCCTGGAGGGGTACGCAGAGAGACGATGTTTGCCAGCTTTGGAAGTTTTGGGGGTTGCAAAAAAAAAGGAGGGTTACCTTATTTCATCGCGGTTCGGATGCAAGCTTTGATCGCTCCGAAGAAGAATTTCCAACCAAGAAAAGAGACTATTATTACTTGTCCCACATACTCCTGCTATTGACCTCTGTCCCCCAATGAGTAATTTTGTGAAGGATTTGCCAACCGTCGAGTTGGCCGTTCGCCATATGATCAACTTTACATTGGCGATGAAGCATGAACTTGGCGGAAAGGCGGGGTTGAGGACATAGCAACACACCACAAACCGGTTCACGCGATCAAAATGTGCCGAGGTTTTTTCTTGTTACTAAGAAAGGTAGAGTAATGAACCCTTGTGATGCATCGCATGAAAAAGTTGACGATTTTTTTTTTTTTTTTTTCGGAGGAAATGCATGCATACACTTTCTTGCAACCATCAGGTTCTGGGATACGGCAGAAGAGCTGTTGGTTGGCGTGCTGCGTCGTAGTTTGGTGATGTGCATTTATGCATTCGGTAGTAGACCACCTCTACTGCGTAGTAGCTTCGACGCGGAGGAGGAGTGAGAACGGGCTAGGTTGGTCTAGACTCGTGCCCGCATTGTGTACACACTCTGCATGACGAACACGTCGACATGTCAAAACTTCGGATGGCTAGGCTGACTAACCTGATGTATTCCATTCCCAACTCTACGAAAGAAGTTCATGAAGAGACTGCGATGTTGACTGTTTCCCACTGAGGTCTGCAGCCAAGCATGGAGGCAACGGCAAAGTCGTGATATTTCTTCTTCTATATACTTTCCTCTGTCCAAATGAAATTCACCTTACCCTAGTTGACAATCCTCCCAGAATTTTAATTTTTTTGGGCAGTTGAAAAATTGGTCCTAAAACCAGTATCACCCTCAATTACAAGTCCCGTCCAGCCCAGATCCTGACGGAAAACATATCCTCAACCTACACACCACACCCTGCTTCCTCCTCCATCCTCCCGAGGCACCTTGTTCATCCCTCTGCCCATCACCCATGTACACGCATAGGTACAGACGTGCACACCACCTCCCTCTCCTCCCGCCTTTCTCTTCCCACCCAAGGTGGCATCTCTGCACCTAACCCCCCCCCCCCCCTTCTCTTCCTCGCGATATCCTCCCATGTCCCGCCTGTACTTGTCTCTCATCCACTACTTCGGTCCACAATCTATTCTGACCTCCCCTCCTAAAACCCTAGGCATGCGGGCTGCCGATATCCTGGTAGTCGCCATCTGCGTCCAATCAAGCTAGACTCTTCCCGTCTTTATGAAACTGTTTTCATCCGCCATCATAATTTGTCCGCGGAGAAAAAAAACACCCCAAAATATCCTGACACCAAAAGCAAAACTCAGCGGGACCAAAGGGCAGAAGAAGAGAAGACGAAGAAAAGAAAAGACCCTGGACCCGTCGAGCGGGATGGCACCCTTCTGCGGACCGGCGTCGATATCTGAGACGGGGACAGCAACACCGCCGCGGCCAATGGATAGTTTGACGTTTCTTTCCCCCCCGCGCGCGGCATGTTCTCGGACGGTCGGCGACACTCCGAAAGAACCCTTCCCCCCCACCACCCCCGGCACCCTTGCCTCCGAGATTTTGAGCTCACGCGCTCCCCCCTTTCCAGAAGTGCACTGCATTGGCTTCACACCCGCCACCACCACCACCACCATGACTGCCACCAATATCATAGAATAGGCTCACGGCAGGCAGGCAGGCAGACAGGCAGGCAGGGGGTTTCGCACAGGTGTCAACGACACCCACCTCAAGCATTCCTCCACGACGAAGACGGCTCGCCTCTCTCGTCCGGAACCCCTTCGACGTCGAGGAACTCGTCCAAGCGTCCGCCCCCGCCGCCATTCACGGCCGCCTCCCGCTCGAGCGTCTCTAGATTGCGCAGCAGTTCCCCCCTTTCGCGGTGGAGTGTCTCCCGCTCCCGCTCCAGGTTCTGGATGTGGCGGCGGGCCATGTCCAGCACCTCGGCCTTGCTGACCCGCCTTTCTTCATTTGCCGCCGCAGCCGCCTGCGGGTCTGATTCGTCGCCGTCTCCGGCGCCGGCCGGGCCACGGACCTGCTCCGGTAAGGCATTGAGGAGACCTTCGAACTGAGCATTGAGTCGATTACGGTACTGCTTTTCGACCAGGTTATGAGATGCGCGTGTTCGTCGTTCTTCGAGCGACTCGGTCGGCTTTTGCAGTGCGTTTTTGGATGTGCGGGAGGCACTGCGCAGTCGGGGTGCCGGTGCCGTCTTGGTGCTCGATCCGGCGGATGAGGCAACTGAAACCGACTTGACCGATCGGCCGCTGACGCTGGTCCGGCCCGCGGGGCTGGTGGGTTCGTCATCGTCGTCGTTGCCACCGGCTCCGGGATCGGCTACGGCACGGCGCTTGCCCTTGCGCTGCGGCTTCCGGGTCCCGGGCGACGACGACGACGATGTCTTCATTGCCCCGGCCCCGCCCCTTTTATCTTGGGGCTCGTTATCATCGTCATCCCACGAAGGGTCCTTGACGTCGCTATCGGTCTCCATGCTGCTTTTACTGTGCTTGCGGACGTCGTGGTTCAATTCGGCCGCAGCGACGGCTGCAATGTTTGGTGTCAGTGTGACGGAGCTGCTGTCTTGAAGCCGAGGCCGCCATGGCGAAGCATGGAAATCAAAAGTGGTCGTGGGTGGTTGCGGGTGAGCTGTTACAGCTACCGTGGTGGAAAGTGGCGTGATGTCGGCATAGACTCCGCCGCCCAGGAACGACGGCTCACTCGTTGGTGGTAGTGGTGGTGCTGCGAATCCGAATTCGAATAAGTGACCACCGTCAACACCAATATTCTGGCTTCTGCCATCAGTACTCAAGCCGGCCGCTGCAGAAAGAGTGACAGGTGGGTTGACACCTGCTGCTGTTGTGGAGGAGGACGTTGCATCAACATGCTGTTGCGGGTTGTCGTGGTATACCGAGACTCCATATCCGGGCGGAAGCCATGCGGCGGCGTGGGCGGGTGCTCGTTGATGGCCTTGCAAATGGAGATGCGACGACGTCCCCTGTTGATCAGCAGCAATATTAGGCGCAGACGCTGCCGCTGGACCGAATTGGTGCTGAAGACCCTGGTTGCCCTCTGCATGTGTCAACCCCAGAGTACCCAACTCGAGACCCAGGCCCAGGGCTGAAGGATGGAGCTGAGGGTAGTTTTGCTGGTGCTGCTGATTCAGGTGCTGGAGTCCTCCGAGATTGTGAATTTGCGGGAATTGCGCCGTCGGTACAGATCCGGGTCTGGGTAATCCAGGAATACCTGCAATGGCCTGGACCTGATTAAGTGGTGTCGCTCTGGTCGATTCATTGATGGCGTTGGGCCGATTGTGGCCTGGACTCAGCTGGGTGGTCTGATTACCGGTCCGAGTGGCGTGGTGTTGGCGGTCGCCGACGTCGAAAGCCCCTCCGAAAACTTCGGGAGAGAAGTGCGGGGACAACGGCGTCGAAGCTATCATCTGCTGATAGAAATAATCGTCAGACTTTTTTTTCTCTCTCATCAATTCTCTTTTCTTTCTGCGAAAGGACCTGTGGTCCTCGAGAACACGGCCTGCTCTACTCTTTTGCGCCTCATCGCCGTCTGTCTCATCAGTTTGCCGAACGCTTGTTCAGAGAACATCACCTTGCCATCGCCCCATCCCGGGTGGCACACAGACTTTCAGCTCCTTGGTACTCCGCCGCCTCCCGCTCATATCCCATACCAAGCACCGGAGGCGACTACCGACAGACAGAATAATGTAGAGAGTCTTGCATGGTCCTTGAATGGTGGCTTGACTTCTCATTGCGGAGGCCCATGGGGGAGAGGAGGGATCTGGCTCAGCTCGATGCTTCCCGCGTGGCATCATGTACTCACTCGCGCCTTCGATCGCTTGGTCTAGCGCTTGTCTTGTTACATTCGTATGCCGCTCAGGTCGGCACATGAGAAAGGGGGCAACGAGGCATGGTGCGGAATGAGCTGGTCGTTTGTTTCGAGGCCTGACCGCAAGAAATGGGAGCCCCTGAAGGCCTCGCTCCGGGGAGGAAGGCACCGAACGGAGAAAAGTGGAATGCAACGCCGGGTGAGATACTTACTTCCGGGTCATCCACGAGATACTCATAGAAGGGAGTGTTGTCGTTTGGCGTATGCGCCATCGTATCGTCTTGCCGGGGGTGGCGAGGGGTCTTGGTTCGATTGGAGAACCCCCTTTCTGAATCCCACCGTCCGGCCCAAAAGCAACGCAAAGCCGTTGGTGATTTATACAGGTTTTGTTTGCTTTTTCGAATCTTCGACCTTGTTCCCGTATCTGCTTTCCAATCCCGGGACCGAGGAAAGGCCTCCTATCCGCGAATGGCCAAGATCGGGCGAGCAAGAGCAAACCAGCCACGATTGGGAGGCTCCGGACTAAGCGTGCGGCCAGACAATCCCAGTGGACGCAGGCCGCCGTAAGAAAGGACCAGACGAGCGTCTGGCCAGTAGTTCCGGAGCGGACGCCACGGCCTTCTCAGGGATTGCCCAAGAACAGTGGGCAATCGGGAGACAACTTGTGGCGCGGGATTCTCCCGTATACCGTCCCCGTGGAGTGACTTTGGTCTCTAGGCGGACCACACCTTCCCAGGACTAGGGTTCCAATAGAGTCAGCCGACCACGACAGCTGCTCAAGTGAATCGACTCTGTCGTAGTGTTCAAAGTAAGACTCGGGTGTCGTACGTACGGCGGCGGGGAGCGCGTTGCAATGCGGCCGGCGCCCAAGACGCCGGTAATCGGGGGGATCGGGGTGGCCTGGATTTATGCCAGAGTCACTCCACTCCAGGGCTGTCGCCAAAAAATCTTTGCTGCTGCGGCGCAGGGTATGCAGGACACACCGAACGAGTTCCGGACGACGTTTCCTCTTTGCTCTGCTTCGCCTATTCGTGTTGGTGGCAATACAATTTATAAATGACCTGTCGTCGATGTCGTTTGTTGCTCCTCTTGAGATCTCGATCTATCTATCTAGACAGGGCAGTCAGTCTCTTCTCATCTTCTTATTTGTACGGCAAGCTAGCCGTGGCTTGTCCGGGGTGCTGAGCATCCTCTCATCCCCCATCTTCCTTTTCCATCGGGCCACTCTTCGTGCCGAGCTTATACGCATCTCCGGTCGAGTCAAGTGGTGAGCCCTCTCTCATCTCTCTTCCTATTCTCCTCCTTTTCTCTCTCTTCTTTCCTTGTCTTATTTCATAGTCGGCTGCTCATGCGACTCGACTTACCGGCTGGGGCAAGTCTAGTAACTCGCTGCCTGAATGGGCTTTCCGCGTCCTCAAAGCTTTGTCAGCTATCACATTCGCAGTATCATCACTGACATTGCCAATGGATGGTGCCTTTGAGACTTGATTTTCTCGGGGAGGGGTTCAGGTGGGCTTTATGAGGACCCGAAGCGACAGATTGATATTCGATAGGGCAATTTCCATGTGAGCTCGGCTTTGGATAACGCAGTCCCCAGACCGCTCGAAAGGATCCGCGATTGCTGGCCGACCTGGACGGCATGGGGCGCCCGGAAGGCCCCCAAAGGCGTGTGCAGCGCCTACATGGATTCTGTCACCCAATCCTGAGCAGGGACTTGCCCGCGCGCCCAAGCTTCCTTGGTCGTAGAAGCAGCTATACCCACAGTGGCCTGCATGATGCAGCTGTTCAGGTCGTGTCTGCGTATTATGCATTCTCGTCCGGGAAAGCTATTCTGCTTAACTTGGCCTTGTGTTTCGCCGGGCTCGGAAAGCTGCTGTCCCCCTCTCTCAAGGAGCATACTGACAGACACGGAGACATAGACAAAGATGAGGTCTGTTGGTTCTCTGTTAGTGGTGGAAAGAGATCGTTGCTTGACAAAACTAGTGGAGGTCTGACTCAAGTGGTCCTGAATCTCGGATGCTCGTATCAGGGGCGGTTAGGTTGGCAACACGTGCCAAGGTTGGGAGTGGACTGACAAGTGTCAGAAGAATCTTCTTTCCACTTTCCTTCGTTGGTCAACCCGTTGCATGACACCTTTGTTCAGTTGAGAGAGAGAGAGATGACCTCAAAGCCAGCTGCATTGGTGCTTAGGTGGCTGGGCCGAATAATCGTGAAGCTGAGGGGCCCTCCCCTCAGCCATCTTCTCGGCTTCTTTCGTAGCCCCAAGGGAAGGCTAGAGGATAAGGGGGGTAATCTTGATCTACATCTGTCGGTGAGGATGCAGCCAAGAGCCTGATGATCTCGGGTCCCGACGAAAAGAAGCCTTTCTCCCAGGGTGAACAGCCGCAGCGTCATCAGGTAATGTCCATTGGGAGTAAACTTGATGTATCGGACGTAGCGAACCCTAGGATGTTCTTTGCTGTTTCCGGGTATTGTCCCGCTAATTCTCCCTCTCAAAATGGGAGGGTTGGGGGCCAGTGCCTTATTCACATCTCCAGGACCCGACAACATTGGGGGCTGAGACCGTTACCCTACGGTCGATGAGGGACTTTGATGTGATCCGTACCGGTCAGAATCTGACTGGTCTCCGTATGGGTTAATTTAAGTTGGCCGAGTGGCTCCATCAAGTTGTCCGTCTGCTGTTCAGGGGATACCCTCCTGGTGTGTTCCCGCCGCCTCGCTTCACGGAATCTCGGATGCCTTTCGCTCGATGACGCCAGCAGCATCGTGCCGTTTCTTCTCCTGTTCTGGTCCCGGGGCCAGGTGACTGGTCACTCTCACTCTCTGGCGTTGCGAACTCGACCGTTGTCTGGTGTCTTGACGTTTGCTTCCAAAGCGCAGAAGCAGGACATGTGACCTGTTCTCCTGATCTCCGTACATGTGGTGTGTGGTTTGTGACAATGTGTCTTCCTTAAGCGAGGGTTCGAGTTGCTTCTCGGGTACCTTACTCTGTACCGTTCGGAGTCTTTTCTCAGTCAGACTTAGGTTGTCTTCTGTGGAAGGTGTTGTGGACTGCCCCTTACCCTAAGACAACGTAGGCAGCAACAGGTTCAGGCAGGCGACTTTCCATGAGGCAAGATGCACCTACCGTATCTTACCTGAAGGTACTTGGGCACATCATCTTACGGTTAGGTACGATGGTGTTGCAGGTTCCGTTCCGCTCCTTCCCCGTCCTGTCAAAACAGCAACCCCTGTCTCTCTTGCCCTACCTCAGGTAGTGGTCCATCCGGTGTCTTTCTTTCTTGTTCTGTTACTGGTTTATTACCGCAGGAAACAAGGTTCAGGGATAAGGAAGAAGAATGTCTACCTGCTTTAGGTCGGTACGTGTCCATGCATGTTCGTCACAGTATCACAGACTACCACTGAGTATATGGAAACGGAGGCTGCGGGAAGGCGCCTTGACCGTTGGGACCGTTAGGACCGTTGACCGTTGCATGTGGCTTTTTCGTCAGGGTTGCCATCCGCATTCGGACAGGTCTCAACTTGAGGTAACCTTCCATCCAGACGAACCACCTCACACTAAGACATGTGGCATAATCACGTGTAAGGTAGTGAGTGGCACTTGATCTTGCTTCTAGGTATCTGATGCACATTCCCCTTCTCCTTCTTGTCTTCCCTCCTTCTACCTTCTCTAACTGCTGCGGCTATCATGCAACAACAACATTAGCCTCGTTTGTCTTCCATGTTTACTCCCTCTTTCCCTTGGCCCATTCCCTCAAGACATTTTTCTTCAGCTTTCCAGTGCTAGTCTTGGGCAGTTCATCAACAACTTCAACCTCCCGAGGCACCATGAACTTGGAGATGTTGCTCTGGTGCTTCGCCCACGAAATCAGGTCTTCCCCTTTCAAACTCTTGCCTTCTTTGACAGTCACATAGGCTTTAGGACGCTCGCCCCAATGCGAATCAGGCACAGCAACTACGGCCGCCTCCAATAGATCAGGGTGTTGTACGAGCATGCCCTCGAGAGCCACCGAAGAAATGTTCTCGCCACCTAGTCTCTCGTTAGTACGATGAGAAGCAACAACTCCACAGGCTGCCGCGTACCTGAAATGATGATGTCCTTTGCTCTATCGAGAATCTGAGCAGATCCATCCGGATGCCAGACTGCGAGATCCCCAGAGTGCAGCGCACCGCCATCGAACAATTTCTTGGTGGCATCGGCATCCTTGAAATACTCCTTGGCGCAGATGTTACCGAAGAATACAATCTCGCCGATTTCCTTTCCGTCCTTGGCGACATCAACAAGAACACCCTCTGGCTGATCTGTCTTGATAATTCGAATGGGAAGACTGGTCAAGAAGCCATGACCCTGACGAGCCATTTTGGCGTATTTCTCATTTGTCGGGAGTGTCTCCCATGATGGCATATGGTATCCTTTGGTGATGGGACCGTAGGTCTCCGTCATGCCATAGACATGAACGGGGAAGAGATTCAGGTTTGTCTAATCACGTCAATACTGTTTCGACGAGTACCGGCAGCCGGATGGGGTGTTACATACCATCTGCTCGAACAAGTGTGCACTGGGTGGACTGGCAGCCACAGTTACCCGCACTTTTTGAGGCAACTTCTCGGCCTCGTTCGCTGAGCATAATAGGGTGTTGACTGTTGGCGCTGCCTGCAAGTGAAGTACTGTGTCAACTATCTGCTCTTCACATGCCGTGGATAGAAATCACTTGCGTTGAAGTGTGTGATGCCCTCTTCCTTGAGCAACTTCCAGATGAGAGGGTAGTCAATCTTCCGCAAGCACACATGCGTTCCACGCACAGCCGTCACCGCCCAAGGGAATCTGTACTATGTCAGTAGGTTCAAACACGACCCAAAGGCCCCAGACTGGAGGGTAGGGCTTCTTACGTCCAACCGACGGCGTGGAACCTAGATATTGTCAGCAAACGACTCTCGACAATACGGCCTGATGTACTTACATGGGTAAAGTCCATAGCTACATGGTAGAAATTTATGATCAGCGAGGTACAGTGAGCATGAGCTGGGCTTGATCATGACTCACATATTTGCAACGGCCAGTGTGATAGTTCAGTCCTGATTCGATGACATTTCCAACGGCTACATATGAATACGGTCAGCCCAACTTGATACCTGTGCAAAAGTCTGAACGGTCCATGGATCCCTTACCAGCCAGATAGGCCCCGCGGTGTGTATAGACTACGCCCTTGGGCCGACTCGTGGTTCCTGAAGTGAAGGGAATTGCAAGCATGTCATCCTCATTACCACACTGTGAGTGAAGGCCAGCCCAACCCTGACCGTGTTGGTGGTCATACTGAAGGCCCTCCAAGACCGCATCATCAAAGGGGCCACTCAAGGCGCCCTCCGTGTAGTCGGTATCAGTGTCAATAATCAAGGGAACTTTGGGGTGCTGCTCCTTGAACTCGTCAAGCAGGTGGACAAACTCCTGGTCGACGATGATTGAGTCGACCTCGGCAAAGTCGAAAATGTAGGTGATGTCATCCGGCTTCAATCTGTAGTTGACACCCACATTAACCCCACCAGCGGCGGCAATACCAAAGATGGACTCGAGAAAGGCGGGTGTGTTGGGCGCGAGAATTCCGACCCTCTTGAAGCCGTGCTTCTTCAGATAATAAGCAAGGCCGCGCGCTCTGTCTGCGAACTCTATGTAAGACCGTCGCAGGGTTCGGCCGTTGGCTGTCACGTGGAAGATGGCTTCTGCATCGGGCTCTATCGCGGCGGCACGCTCTAGAAAGAAGGTTGGTGAAAGCTGGTGTATGTGGTGGTTCGGACGGGGCTCGTCGACCTTGGCTGTGGAGGATGAGAGGAAATGTCCGAGGATGTTCTTGAGACGAGACGGAGGGCTAGACATGGCTACTGTTGACTGGAAGAGCCTTTTCTACAGAACCAGGAGATGAGACAAGGACGAAAGATGAGATTGTCAATTACTGCGTGCTGAATATAAAATCGTTGGCTCGTTTGGAAGTTGGCGTTTACAGACACATGGAGGCAAATGAGGAAGAAATGGTGAGTGAGAGGAAGGACTTGTATGCTGCGATTGAAAGCCAGCCATTCTTGCTACCAGCCACAATCCCTCTTCCACTTACCCGATCCCCGAGCCAGGCCTAGCTGTCCTTGCTGGCATACCCCAATTGTCCAGTATTCTTGAGACACTTTGACGGACCGAACCCGACAGCTCCAGCTCTCAGCTCATGCTTAAGCCCGGCTGTCCTCGGTAGGAAATTACCCCACACTTGGCAAGTGTGCCTCCAGGGCTGCTCCCCACCAGGTTCAAGCTCCCGTCCCAGGCAAGTCGGGGTAGTTGCGCTAAACCGGATTGGACCTCCTCTGTGTTAGGTAAGCAGACCTCACAGAGAAGCGCATAGGCCTGCGCCAGGGGGGTAAAAGAAAGCTCAGCCAGCAACGAGGAAAGGGCCCACTGCACTTAATGAAAGTCGCGTCGTCGCTGTGCCACCGTGCTGTAGCCTTGCGCGACCAGGAAAGTGCAGCGCGAAATGCCAACGCCCGAAATTTTATCACCGACATCAGCGGGACCTCCTTAAGCACCGCCATCTCCATTTCTCCCACCTACCCATCTCGAGCATCAGCGATTCGAGTCATACGTCACTTCCTCGCACATTCTGCCTCGAGTAGAGCTTTCTTTGCGACGGTATCACGACCGACACAGCCGATACTTTCCTCAACCTTCCGACCTCTCGCCAGCAATCATGGCAGCTATGTGAGTGCCCATCGCCCGCTCCTTCTTTCGCACAGATCCCATGCCCATCGAATTGCCGAGAAACCACGCAATTCTTGCGATACATTCAATCTACAACTACGCGCGACTGCTTCTTCTCCGACTTTCTCATGGTGCGATAGCTAACTAGATGCCCGCTCTCAGAGAGAGCTTTGACGGCATTTACTTGGACCTCTCCAAGGAGAGCGGCAAGTGCAGATTTGCCGAGAGCGGTCTCGGTTGGAAGCCCTCCGGCGGTGGCGATACCTTCACTCTCGATCACAGCACAATTGCTTCGGCGCAGTGGAGTCGAGCTGCCAAGGGCTACGAAATCAAGATCCTCAACCGAGACTCGCGCATTATCCAGCTCGATGGTTTCCAACAAGAGGTAAAGAAGCGCGCAAAGGCCGGCAGATACGAGATGAATGGAATGCTGACTTGGTATTTGGCGTGAAGGACTACGAGCGTCTTGCCAAGCTCTTCAAGAACTGGTACAGCACCGCCCTCGAGAACAGGGAGCACGCCCTGAGGGGATGGAACTGGGGCAAGGCCGACTTTGGAAAGGCTGAGCTGTCTTTCAACGTCCAGAGCCGCCCTGCGTTCGAAATCCCCTACTCCGAAATCTCAAACACCAACTTGGCGGGTCGCAACGAGGTCGCGGTCGAATTTTCAGCTCCTACAGACAAGAATGATACTGGCACCAACGGTCACCTGGGCGGTGCGCGCGGAAAGGGCAAGAAGGCGGGTGCTGGCAAGGACCAGCTCGTTGAGATGCGCTTTTACATTCCTGGAACCGTCAAGAAGGAAGTGGAGGGCGACGAGGCTGGTAGCGATGCTGGCGGCGAAGAAGAGAAGAACGCCGTCACTCTGTTCTACGATACCCTGATGGAGAAGGCCGAGATTGGCGAGACCGCAGGCGATACTATCGCTACGTTCCTGGACATTCTCCATCTCACACCCAGGTATGTGCACATCACTGCGGCTACTTATAACTTTATAGCTTCTAACACCGCGACAGAGGTCGTTTCGATATCGACATGTACGATGCGTCTTTCCGTCTCCGTGGTAAGACGTATGACTACAAGATCCAGTACGACGCCATCAAGAAGTTTATGGTGCTTCCCAAGCCAGATGAGACCCATGTGCTTCTTTGCGTTGGCCTGGACCCGCCCCTGCGCCAGGGTCAGACAAGATACCCGTTTATCGTCATGCAATTCAAGAAGGACGAGGAGGTGACGATCGATCTCAACCTCACCGAGGAGCAAATAGACGAGCGGTACAAGGACAGACTCCAGCCTCACTACGAGCAACCTCTTCACCAAGTCATCACCTACATCTTCCGAGGACTTGCTAACAAGAAGATCACAACGCCAGCCAAGGACTTCCAGACGTATGTGTCCTACTGTTTGTGCGAGGGAACCTGTGCTAACATCCACCTAGCCACCGGAACCAGTTTGGTATCAAGTGCTCAATCAAGGCCAGCGAAGGTTTCCTATACTGCCTGGAGAAGGCGTTCATGTTTGTGCCTAAACCTGCGACGTACATTGCCTACGAGCAAACAGCATCCATCACATTCTCTCGTGTTGGCGGTGCCGTTTCTGCGCTGTCAACCTTTGATATCACCGTGCAGATGAAGAACGGTGCTGGCTCATCACAGTTCAGCAACATCAACCGCGAGGATCTCAAGGGGCTCGAGGAATTCTTCAGGCTCAAGGGATTGCGCGTTAAGAACGAAATCGATGAAGAGACCAACCTCATTGCCGCCGCTATGCGCGACCAAGCTATGGACGATTCGGAAGAGGAGGTTGTCGGTGCCGCCAAGGCCGACCGTGGCTCAGCCGACGAAGACGAAGAGAGTGTCGACGAGGACTTCAATGCCGAGAGTGAGAGTGACGTTGCCGAAGAGTTTGACAGTGACCATGAGAGCTCTGGCTCAGGCAGCCAAGAGAGCGACGTGGATAACGACGACGGCGATGATGGCGAGGATGACGAAGAAGAGGAAGAGGAGAGGCCCAAGAAGAAGAAGAAGACGGGCTGATTGCGCTCTTCCGACTTTTGGGTGTGTTTATCGGCTGGGTGGAGAGGCTGCTGGGCGTTTTTATTTGGGTGTCGGATGAAATGTAATACTACGATTATCTACTTTGACGCTGGCCGACTGGGCGTCGCGGCGAAGCAAAAGAGGTTAATATTTTTCTTGGAAGAGACTCCAAGAGACTCCGCGAGTCTTTTGCAACACGAGGAATTACTGAGTGCGTTTCTGTCTATGATTATTGAGTGACTGTTTACTCACGGCATTTTGCATGTGGGGTCCATGTAAGCTTGCCTAGTACCTTACCTTGTACGCACGCCAGTGAGTCAACCAAGCACATGCCATACGGCCACGTAGATGTCATTTTGATGTCTTTGACCATCAACTCCCAGTCGTTTCCCGTTTTGTTTTCTTCTTACAGCCACATGAACAAGCTACGGCGGAACCTACCACATACCTTACACGTACAAACACCACGGAAGAGCCCGTCCCGCTCCCGGGCTCAGGCCCAGGCCCAGGCTCAGGCTTAAGGGTAACGATGCCCCGCCTCGGCCTCGGTGTCTACCGGCTCAGAGGGGAAGAATGCTTCGCGGCCTGTCTGGCGGGATTGGAGGACGGGTACCGGCACATCGATACCGCGCAGCTGTATGGGAATGAAGAGGAGGTCGGGAGGGCTGTTGCGGTGTTTTTGCGACGGCGGCGAGGGGAGGTATTATGGGATGGATGCGATGATGGACGGGGAGTAGAGGGGGGGAGGGGGAAGAGTCAAGAGGGAGGATCTGTTTTTGACGACCAAAGTCGGGAAGTGGGAGGGCGATGGGGAGAAGATGTATGAGGGTGTCTTGAGAAGTGTTGCGAGGGTTGCTGGGGAGGAGGAGGAGGGAGGGAGGGTACGTTGACTTGATTCTTGTACATCGTCCCGTTGCGCGGTGGAGGGATATCTGGGGCGTGTTGGGGAGGCTTGTGAGGGAGGGTAGGGCGAGGGCGATTGGGGTGAGTAATTTTGGGATTGGGGCGTTGGAGGAGATGAAGGGTTGCGAGGGGGGGTTGCCGTGTGTGAATCAGATTGAGGTGAGTTTTTTTTAAGGGTTTTTTTTTCTTTTTTTCTTTGCGGCGTTGGGAGATACCGGTATACTGTGGCAGAAGTTTGCAGAGCAAAGGTTGACAGAGAGATTGCTGATGATTGAAACGCAAGCTTCACCCGTGGTGTCAACAGCGGGAACTAGTCGCCTACTGCCAACAAAACGGCATCGTGGTACAAGCGTACAGCCATCTCGCGCGCGGGCAACGGTGGGCGGACCCGGTGTTGAGAGAGGTCGTGGACCGGGTCCGGCGCCGTGTCGGTTTCGGTGTCTGGGACGTATCATCCGGACGGATACCGGAGACGAAGCACCGCAATAACAAATATGACCCACAAGACCGGGACACCGCAGAGGAGGAGGCTCTGGCGGGAACGGCAGTCACAGAGGTCACGATCACAGTCACGCCGGCGCAGGTGCTGATACGCTGGTCTCTGCAACGCGGGTTCGTGCCACTTCCCAAGAGCGCTGCGGTAGAGAGGATCCGGGAGAATGGGGACGTGTTTTGGTTTGGGCTTGATGAGGTCGAGATGGGCATGTTGGATGGGTTGGACTTGGGGGTTGAAGGGGCGCTGTTTCCGAAGAATGTGGGTTGATGGTGGGATACATCACTCACCTTACCTTAATACTTCTAATGACATACGCCTTAATCGAGATGCCCTGCAAGAGTCTGGTCATGCGGCACGGGTTTAGAGGCAAAGTGTTGAGACTTCATCTGTAAGGTAAAGTACGAAGTAAGGTTGATGGGCTTTCGGTTTCTGCAGGTGATGGTAGGCTGGTTCTATAGAGAGTCCCGGATTCCCTTTCATTGTTCATGGGATAATAGATGTCACAATATTGAGTGCGGCCGAAGCAATACACAGTAGAAGCGTGGATTGTATGCCTGCTAACGAGGTGCCCCACGCGAACAGCGCCTCCCAGCGGCCGGGGCAGGACGGAAGGTTCGCCGAGACCCGAATCGGGACCTTATTCGGGCGCGGGTTGGTGGCGCTGGCGCTGGCGCTGGCGCATGAACTCATCAAGTGGGCGGTGGAACCATTCCAGGGCGGCCAGCACAGGTGCCAGCTTCACCTGGAATCTTCGATGCTCATCCTGGGCCATCCCACCTCACACTGCGCTTGCGGAGGGGCAGTGAAGCAGTGACCTACCTGCTTGCAGCTTGGGGTAAAGATCGCCAAACAAACAAAAAACATCGACAAACGTCTCTGCTCTTTGACCTGCGAGCGCCTGACTTTGACCTTTTAATTCCCTCCAATTCAGCACTTCATCATCGTCATTCCAAATACTTAATCCGCTTCTTAAAGACGACGGCCATGAGCGAAAGTCGCTTTCACCGTCCGTTGCGCGGCGGTTGCCAGTGCGGGCGCAACAGTTACATCATCGAGGTCCCGCAAGGCACCACCGAGAAAGCCCAGGTGCTCTTCCACACAGACTCAATGCACAGTAAGTCGCTTCGTCTGGCCAATTTCTCGTGATATCCATGGGCAGGCCTTCTCAAATAATCCCGCCGTGCATACAGCCGATCATGCCTCACCTCTTCGAGAGCGGAAGCTCCGCTAACCCATGATCTGATGCGCAGGAGTTCCTCTCGCAACCCCACTAGCCGCCATGATCCGAGTGCCACTCTCGTGGTATCACAGCTCAACCCACGCCTTCTACCCGGACGAAAGGCACTCAGCAATTCGCCGTGTCTTCGAATCACCCTCCAACCATCACCCCTCAAGACGAAACTTTTGCGGCTTTTGCGGCACGCCGCTGTCCTACTGGACCGAGAGACCCCTTACCGAGGCAGGGTTCATCCACCTGACCCTTGCGAGCCTGCGAGGCGAAGACCTACGAGATCTGGAAGATCTGGGGCTGATTCCAGAGTTTGAAGAGCCGGAAGAACAGCCCGCTGTTCCGACAACAACCACGGTAATTGGGAGAGAAACCCAGGGCGTCCCTTGGTTCGAGGGCATGATCGAGGGCACCCGTTTGGGCAACCTGCGTCACAGCCAGGTTGTTGATCATAGCAAAGACGGGAAAATCAGGGTTGAGTGGGAGATTGTAGAGTGGACCGAGGGAGATGATGCTCCCGACGTAGCCCCAGCAGCGGAGGGCGACGTTAATATGACAACAAATCATCCCGGAAAACGCAAAATGAACGACCGAGAAGACGAGGATGCGGCTGTCGACGGCATGCATTAAGCCTTGTCCATGCCGTGCATTGCAGCGGCAGGCTAGGTCGTAACGAGTCCAGGGCCGTCTCGAGCTGGGCCGGCTCACCTTCGTCCCGGCTTCCGTACACCTCGGTGAGGCTCCGGATAGAGTCTCCAAGACAACGGCTATGCTATTAACGCAGACTTTGTCCCGTCAGTCTTGGAAAAGTTGGCGTAACGATGTGGCAGTCCCAAAAGGTGGTACGTTTGATTTGCACATATAAGAAGATGTGCTGTGTGGCGGATACGGAAAGAATTGGGATACGGTTCGAAAAGCCAGGCAGGCATGCGCTGTACTGACCGTAACGTCCACAATGATAATAGCAAGGATGAAGGTACCTTGGGATAGCCGTAGACGCGACCATGTACACACATGCCCGAGCAGGAAATGAAAGTTGTAAAATCTCCGATGATCTCCCGGAAGCCGTGTGTTTGTGTGTCCTTTGAGCTTCCGGTACGTTGACCAGAGGCTTGTTGGCTGTGAGTGAAGGCCCCGCCCGCCGGGCAGACGGCTTCGTCAACCGAAATCGAGAAGACAAAAAGTAGTTGCATCATTCCCTTGAATGACCGGGAGAGACGCTGGCCTTCCGCGTAGAAACAACAGATCGGAGGTTCTTCATGTGATACGGCGTGTTGTAATCGCGCAAACTAAGGTGCTTACGCTGGGGCTATCGGGCTTGGAGGGGCGGAATTGGATTTCAAGCAGGATGCAGCTCTTCGTAAAGTCGTACCTGTACATCCATGAGCCGCTTGAGAGAAGCGCCGGACGGAGAAAAAGAAACCACAAGAGGCCTTGAGATAATGCCAGGTGTTCTGAAGTTGAGATGCCGTCTATATTAGAGTCTTGTTATGAAGCTGGGGACGAGAAAGCTGGGTGGTGCGGAGATTATGGGACGATAGCCGGAGTTGGAGAAGCTTACTGGAGTGGCATTGGACGAGCCGGATGTAGATAGAGGTGGAAGGGAGACTCTCCCGTCCGACGTCCGCTCACCGAAAGCGACGGGATTTTCGTTCGCGGAGCCGGGGGTACTCTGTCAATTTGTACTGGGCGTGACCAAAGTAAGGGAAATCATGGCAGCAGCGGCTGGTTACCCGTCGTCTGGGAGTCGAGGAGAGCTCGGGAGGATTCCTCGTGGCCATGGCCGGTCGCCTTATGCGAGCGATTGCGTAGGACGAGACCTTGCAGGGTGTGCTTCGAGCATGTCTGCTACCAGCCGGTCCTGGCGAGGCCATCAGACATTGAGATCAGCTCGAGTTGCGCTAGCGGCCGGCGGAATTGAGCCGTCACCGGAGTTTTGGCGACACCGTTTGACGATATGCATGCCGCCGGCCATCCAGTGTGCGTTTGTGTTAGTACCGTTATGTTTTACACAATCTTTGTGTGAAGTGTAAGGACAACTTGGTGCGTGGGCTGCAGAAACTGCAGCGAATTCATGCTGGCGCTTGTGCCGAATAGAGACAAGTGTCCAATCATATAAGTTTGGAGATCGTCAGGTGAGGAATCGAGGTTTGTTCGTGTTTCGAATTGGCTCTTAGAGGCTGGTGCTGGTAAGACGAGCTGGGCAGAGAAAAGGGCATGTTTTGACGGATAGACGGGCCGTCGTGTGGTCTCGAGACTCTAGGAAGCGGCGGAGAGGAGAGAAATGGGGGGCACTTGGGAAAAAGGGGACCCCACGGCGGGGTAATGGATGGCGCCCCTGGCCTAGGCGCAGATGCACTTCCCCTGTTGGGTGTCGGGTCGAAGAAACCCCAAGGAGGGCAAGAAGGGTAGATAGATACTTGCCTATCCGTACCTTCTTTTCCATTGCCTCCAAACTATTTGGAAAGAGGCATCGTGATGAGGACGTGATTGCCTCTTACGGAGTTCCATGTACATGTACATCCAGGTCGCACAAGGTCACTTTACTGGCGGCAGCTGCCGTGGACATAGCCGTGGACATACACTTACTGCCTTCATTCCTTCCATCTCTCCCATAGTCTCTGCTCTAGCGAATGGAACATGACGATGCGCTTCTTTTCGGTGTTCCATGCACATTCTCCTGTAAAAAACTCCCCGCGCCATCTGGGTAACGAGATACACCGCTCAAAGTAGACGCTACTGGCGGGCAAAATAAACCTCACGTTGGACGCCTCATCTTTACGAACCTAAGGTAACTTGTCAGATCACGCCTCCGACCCATCCCCCCAACGCCGACGCCAATGCCAATGCCAACGCCAACACCATCCATCTTCGGACCTTGTTCTAGTCCTAGCTTCTCGGTGTCGACGGTCCGACATTGGAGACATCCAGAGTACCAGATTGACCAAGGCGCTACCTGATACCACGTCCACCTGCCCCATGTCGTTGTCTGATGTGCCCGGTCCGTACCTCACTGCACACCAGCACAGCTGGTATGGATACCTTGACATGATGCGGGTGTTTGTCCCATCTTTTTTTTTTTCTTCCCTGCCCTGTCTACCTTAGTTTATTATCCTCGAGTGATCCTTGTATCTGGCTACCTTCACTTTTGCCTAAACCTACCAAGGACGTCTAAGTACCCCCGTCCATCCCAAGGTCACAATGCCGTTTTAAGTGCGCCGCTCTGCTTCCTTCCGTCTTTTTTGCATCTTATAAGTATCGTGGCAGCACCTCAATGCCCATCTGTACGATCCCATCTTGCTACCTCTTCTCTCCGTCGCCTCCTTTTACATCTCATCCCTTCTCTCGACGTCTTTTGGCCACTTGTAATCAAGTGGTTCGTTTCTTGTCGGGGCAAATCATCTACTCTTGGCTGACCCATCATCATCCCACCGTCAAGCCCATCAAAACCCCTCCATCCATCGGTCTTAGCGTAGGTGCCACGCAGACTGCTAACTCTCTGAGAATCATAATACCAACTCTCTTCGCCGTAGCAGTTTCCCCTATAAATCCGTCCATCATGTCTCTTCCCAACGACTTCCTTTGGGGCTTTGCCACCGCATCGTACGTATTTCATCCCATCATCAACCCGGCTCGGCCCATCCCCAATGCCCTGGTCTGGTTGTTATCACCATGCATATTCGCGCCCTCTTCCGCCGATATCCCGATTTGGATGACTTACAAGCATTCTCCCACCACACTTCGCCCTTCTCCCTCCGTCTTTCCCGTCCCGCCTGCAAATTCCACTTCCCCTCCGAGCTGCCCCCACTCTCATCTTTCCCCTCTCCCCTCATTTAGCGACCACGACGACACAACGTGCGAGACCCCTGCTGACGCTATTTGTCCACCACTACAGTTACCAGATCGAGGGTGCCGCCGAGAAGGACGGCCGTGGCCCCTCCATCTGGGACACCTTCTGCGCCATTCCCGGCAAGATTGCCGATGGCAGCTCCGGTGCCGTCGCCTGCGATTCCTACAACCGCACCGCCGAAGACATTGCCCTGCTCAAGTCCGTAGGCGCAAACACCTACCGCTTTTCTCTTGCCTGGTCGAGAATCATCCCTGTCGGTGGTCGCAACGACCCCATCAACCAGGCCGGCCTTGACCACTACATCAAGTTCGTCGACGACCTCCTTGAGGCTGGCATCACCCCCTTCATCACCCTCTTCCACTGGGATCTCCCCGATGGACTCGACAAGCGCTACGGTGGTCTCTTGAACCGTGAGGAGTTCCCCCTCGACTTTGAGCACTACGCCCGCATCGTCTTCAAGGCCATCCCCAAGTGCAAGAACTGGATCACCTTCAACGAGCCTTGGTGTTCTTCCATTCTCGGCTACAGCAGTGGCTTCTTCGCCCCCGGCCACACCTCAGACCGCAGCAAGTCCGCCATCGGTGACTCTTCCCGTGAACCCTGGATCGTTGGCCACAACCTGCTCGTCGCCCACGGCCGCGCAGTCAAGGTCTACCGCGAGGAGTTCAAGCCCACCAATGGTGGCCAGATCGGTATCACCTTGAACGGTGATGCCACTTACCCCTGGGACCCCGAGGACCCTGAGGACGTCGAGGCCTCTGACCGCAAGATCGAGTTTGCCATCTCCTGGTTCGCTGACCCAATCTACTTCGGCAAGTACCCCGACTCCATGCTCAAGCAGCTTGGGGACCGCCTGCCCGAGTTTACGCCTGAGGAGCTCGCCCTTGTCAAGGGATCCAACGACTTCTACGGCATGAACCACTACACGGCCAACTACATCAAGCACAAGACCACCCCTCCTGAGGAGGACGACTTCCTCGGCAATCTCGAGACCCTCTTTGAGTCCAAGAGCGGCGAAAACATCGGCGAAGAGACCCAGTCTTTCTGGCTGCGTCCTAACCCCCAGGGCTTCTACAACCTCCTTGTCTGGCTCTCTAAGCGCTACGGCTACCCGCCTATCTACGTCACAGAGAACGGTACCTCCCTCAAGGGCGAGAATGACATGCCCCTCGAGCAGATCCTCGAGGACGACTTCCGTGTCAAATACTTCGACGGCTACGTCAAGGCCATGGCCGATGCCCACGAGAAGGACGGTGTCAACGTCAAGGGCTACATGGCGTGGTCCCTCATGGACAACTTCGAGTGGGCCGAGGGCTACGAGACTCGTTTCGGCGTCACCTTTGTCGACTATGAGAACGACCAGAAGAGATATCCCAAGAAGAGCGCCAAGAGCCTTAAGCCCCTCTTTGACAGTCTCATCAAGAAGGCCTAAGCACATATCACCATGTTTGAGTGTTGACGCATTGGAAGAGGAGGGTAAAGGGCATCCATTAAGCTGGGATATGCATATCATTTTATGAAAATGTACAGAGAGCACTGAGCTGCTCATGATGATGTATGAAGATTCTTTTGTTGCGATCCACCATGTAGTTTGGATATGAAATACCGAAATGAGAAGTGCTTAAATTTGATGTTGGTCATGGAGTGAACTGGAATATGAGGGTCGTCTCATTGGATTGTGATTACCGGCTAAACTTCAAATCTTTGGTTGCATTCGAACTCGCTTGGGAGCTTTGTGTAGCCTGTAGATATCACTCAGAACTCAAATGGCTTGTTTACC